ACAGCCCTGTCCATGCCGAACCAGGACGTTCTTTGAAAAGGGTAGGAAGAACCAATCCTTTGCAAGCATGGGATTGCATGTTCATGGAATATCTACCAATGGAGCACAAGCTGGAAAGAAATGTGGCAACTGATTGCATGGACCCAGTTCAGGAGTGAAGCCAAGACTAAGACTTTTATTTTTTACACACACATGGTTTATATGCTTTTTACAAGCAAGTCGTAGCAAATCTTAATTGGTCCTCTGGACTTCCGTGGTGGTCGTGGAGACTGTTCTTTGGTTCCTCACTCTCCTCAAATGGCAGAATTACACGCTGACCTTGCAGAGTAAGTTCTGCACTCTACTTCGTTAGCACGTCAGCCTGTCCCAGGGTCAGCCAATCACAAGTTCTTCCATGCTCTTGCCTCAGCCCCCACAGTTGTCCAGAATCCCATTCCATGGCTCACTGCACAACTCTAATTTATCACGTCTCACAAAGAAACCTGAATCTGAAAATTTCGTATTTTAAATTGAGTTTGAGAAAGGATGCAACCTGAAACATACTTTTTTATTTACAAATTTGTATTTATTTGTATATAGGTGGTAGTGAGCAGTATTTGTAGTCACTGCTTTTTTATCTCACTTGTTTTAACCATGATGCCTACATCTTTGGAGGAAAATCTTGTCAAGGTTTTAATAAATTCATAAATAAATCACTTCTTTGGCTTTGATCACTTTCATTGTCTGAAATATGCTCTTGTGTGAAAGTATGGTGTCTGTTTCATAAACTTTCCCCAAAAGTAAATTAGTACAAAAAAGTATGTTTTTATATAAAGGTGTAGTATGTATGTATGTATATGGATGATAATATATTGATGACCTGCCAACTTTGAACTGAATACCTAAGTATCCCTGAACGTTTGTAACTTTTAATTTAATTTTATTTTCCCTGAACAGGCAAGTCTTTCTGAAATTCACAGCAACATGTGGGTTAGAAATGGTCTACAAATTAAAGGACAAGCCATGACTTATGTGCAGTCTCATTTCTGCAATTCAATGATTGATCCTGACATTTATCTGCTGCAAGTAAGTTATGTTTTCCAAGAAGCCAAGGCAATGCTTATTTACAAACCACTCAATAAAATGAATTTATTCCCTTTCCACAGGTCTGTGCCTCAAGGCTGGACCCAGATTATTTTATTTCATCCGTTTTTGAAAGGTACAGTTAAAAGATGAATGCTCTTGTTCGATATTGTGCTAGCTGTTGACTAATTTATGCCATGTGAGAGAAAAGGTGTGTTTATCTGATACACATCTTCAGTGGTACAAATCTGTGTAGCCAAAACTAGTACTTACCTAAGGGCTTTACTGGAAGAGGTATTTCAAGGTATATTCTTGATTTTTTTTTTTTCTTTTTTTCCCCCCATTTTAGTATTTGCTTTTGATTTACAGTACAGCAGTGGAGCTTTGGAGGTTTGCTTTCTGAGCATTTTTAGGTTTTGGTTTTTGCAGGTTTTACACATGCTCATATGCAAGCCTTCAGGATATGCTTGCCTGAAGATGTAGATAAATAGAACTGCAATATTAAGAAACTCAGAATTATCTGCTTTCCTGCATAGAATAAAATCAGGGTTTGGAAACAGCTTAAAGCATTACTTTTTATATGTTCATAAATGTAAGATGTTTTCATGTGAAGTAAATATCACTACAGTATATTCCACAGATAGTTAAATAAAAATCCAAATTTTAAAAAAAGAGGATTTACATGTATGTTTGTCTACTATTGCTTTATATGCATTTAATTTTGTATTCATTTTGGGTTGTTGTGAATGGTATCCCGAGTTTATCGGTACACTGTTCTTTGGTATTTTAATGTTGCAGAGTGATGTTTCTGACTTTACACTTTGCTATGTAGATTTAAGGTGGTGGATCTGTTAACGATGGCATCACAGCACCAAAATACAGTTCTCGATTCAGAGCACGAAAGGTCCATGTTGGAAGGAGCCTTAACGTTTTTGGTTCTTCTGTTAAGTCTTCGTTTACATTTAGGTAAGAGTCACTGCTTTAGGAGTAATTGTGTGTAAATAACATTCCTGTTCATTTATATTTAATGTTTAGTAGCTACCACAGAGCTTATTAGACACATAGTAACTTAAAGAATTCAACATTTGGTTTCATTTTTGCCAGTTACTGAATTCTAATTCCTTATGAATTAGAAATAGATATAATACTTAGAAATAGTGAAAAATGGCTTTAATGGAAGTGGGTGATTTTTGTATATGATTGCATGAAAATTCTCTATCTTTTTCAGAAAGAGAGCTGTTTTTGTTTGTACCTATCTTTTCTGACTGAGGTTGTGTTTTCTCATAACATTTGCACCCTGCCCCCTTTCTTGCCTTTTTTATAGTGCTGTATAATTACTTAACATTTTTACTAAGTTTAATTTGCATTTTATGACAAATACATGTTGAATGTGTGTTTTCAAATCATGCTATTATAATGGCTTTTAAAATATTCTTCTAGGAATGACAGATGATGAGATCCTCAGAGCAGAGATGGTAGCCCAACTGTGTATGAATGACAGGACACACAGTTCGTTATTGGATCTCATATCCTTGGAATATATTAACTAATGTGCACGAATGAGAATGACAGGTACCTGGATAGTAGTGGGATATTGAAGCTTGAACAACATGTTTGCAGCTTCCATAATTATACACATGGTTTAAAGGTGTACTTGCATATACTTATCGGGAAAGGTATTTGCTTCAGTTTTGATTTTTCTTACAAAATATGCAATACTTTTTACCAGTTTTAAATTATTTTTGATACAAAATGATAAACTGATCTTTTAAATTTATTTTTTTTAACAGTACAGAAGTCTTAAGTGTGAGGTGAAAAAGTCTGTTTTCCAATGATGTAGAAATTTTAGCTAAGCAGCGCCTTTATCTGTATTTGAGACTTTGATTATTACTAATATTATGTCAGCATAAGAAGAAACCACTCTACAGGGTATTTGCTTTTGCTGAAAAATGCAAATAACAACAGTTTTGAATGCTGCTTTGAAATTGGAGGGAAATACATGTGTTATGGTAGACTTCTGCCTTACTGGAGGGTAGCAAACTCAAGGAAGTCTTTATGTGCAGTGGCATGGATTGTGTTCCCAAACCACTGGTACAAATATGCAGGTTTTACTGCTATTGGTGTATTAGGCTGCGTAAGCAAATTAAATAACTTACGGTGGTTGTCCAAAAGAGCTTGCAATCCAGGAACAGGCATAGAGCAAAAATACTAGAAATTTATAAAGTTGGGGAAGGAGGAGTCTGAGAATTACAAATATGTAATAAGAATTGTTAATTATTATGTTATGACCTAGTAACTCAGTCACTTAAATATGTAAAATAAGCAAATCACTTTAATGTGATTCACTTTAAATGAATCATTTTACTATGTAAAACAAGTGAATCATTTATAGAAGCAATCACTTGTCTCTAAGCAGAAGTTAATTATCTGTAATTGTTACTTGTGATTTAGGGTAATGTCAGTAGGTCAATTAAGTAACACTATCAAAAATGAGAAATAGCCAGTCCAACCTGGAGGATTGCTTATTGTGTGTATGGATCCCAAGCTATTTGCTTGCTCTTTCTGCAGCTAGATGTAAATGCAAAATATTCTTGCAATGAGGAGAGACAAAGTGTTAGAAAATAAAGGCAAGTGCAAAAACTTTATATACACTACAGAGTAGTTCTATTTCTCATTTAATGTAGACCTCATGAGCCAAGGCATTAGCTTGTCTCAGGGTTTAATGCTGTAGCTAGGAGGCTCTGATTCACTTCAGTAATAGTTACTGTTCTGTAGCAGCTGGAGCATACAGACCTCTTGTGGTAAACACAGAGCACTGCCAAAATGTAGACTGAAAGGACTCATTCAAAATGTCAAGAGGGAAGTAAAATACTGTGTCCTGCAACTAAGTTAACTTTGCTTTCCTTAACACAAATATTACATTCCAGAAAACCCCAATCCTAAAAGTGGTATTATTCCAGGAAGCTTAAGCTTTGAATCGGTCTTGTCAGCAGTTGCTGATTTTAAAGCTCCTGTTTTTGAACCTGGAGGTTCCATGCAACAAGGAATGTATACACCTAAAGGTATGGTTATCAGTGTCCTCTTATATTCAGTGGTAAAGTGCTTAACAAAAAAGAGTCTGCCAAGCGATGATAAACCCTGCCACCGAAACCCCTAAAAAACCCAACCCAAAACCACCACAAAACCTGACTTTTTCATTATTCTAATGCTTATGTTTAAGAGCATTGCTAAAGACTTCAGTCTTTAAGAAATTGATTTTGTTCTAGAGTGAAAATGAGGTTTTTGTGTTAATAAGTTATGCTTAGAAAGCAAGGTGAAAAATGAGGAACTGAAAATCTGTTATTTGTGTTTCACTGATCTGCACACTTAATCATGCATTTGATTTAAAAAAACCTGATGTGTGTTGAATGGAATTTAGAACTTTTTGTACTAGTGAAGTGTCAGTTGTGAAGATATTTTCTTTTAATTTCTCCATATTTTGAGTATTAAAAAAATATTGTGATATATAGTTCTTTCTTTCATACTGCCTAACTGTCTTAGTAGCCCAAGTAATGTTTTTTCCAGTCAGTCCAGAAGGTCTGAAACGAAGTTCATAGTTGGCTGGTTGTAGAATATCATTCTATAATTCTACAATGCATGCAGCGCAAAAAATAACAAGTTTCTTCCCCTGACCAGCTTGTCATCTAAATTGTACTCAATGTAACATTGGTATTTCAAAGGAGAACGAGAATTTAAGAACTCAGTGTTCTGCTATTGTTGCCTATTGCTGAGCAGATAAGCCTGCGGGAATCTGAAATGCTCCATGTGCGCTGGTTGTGCTTCAAATCATGGCAAAACTGAAGAGGGATTAACTCCTTCCTCTCCCACGTACATCACTTGAGAACTGACAGGGTTGGAGTCTGACTCATTTGACCCAAATTTGAAACCGCTTGTTTTGTAGGCTGTCTCCTTTTGTGGATTTTGTTGTTGTTAATGTGGGCACTAATACTGTACTAACTTGTTTGCCACTTTTTGTACTGGCAGATTGACAAGTCAGTGAAGCTCGTTTATATAAATTAACAGTCAGTGAAATAATTTTATGAAATCAGAGTCTTGGGAATCGTGGGGTTTTTTTGGTTCCTTCATGTGTGATTAGGTAGCTTAACACCTATGTATTTAAAATAACTTCTTTTTAATGTTATGTAAACTGCATTTCCTTATGTCATGTCAGGATTCTAGAGCTTGTGACATGCTTGTCTTTTTCCATAACATAGTGTGAAGAGGGAAAAAAAAAAAAAGATGGATTATGGTGTTTTCAGTTATAACACTTTATGGAGTTTGATGCTATTTGTTTTTGTGTTTTGTTTCTTTTTTTTTTTTTTTTTTTTTTTTTTCACAGTTTTTTTTATTTACAAACAGCTTTCCCTCCAAATTAATTAATTCTTTTTTTTTTTTTTTTTTTTTTTTTTTTTAACAGGTTGCTTCTGGAATAGATTGTTTATCTTAAAAGTTCTTTTCCAGAATCCTTTTTTCTTAAAGTAATAAAAGACTGAAAGAGCTTCTGCAGGACTAGAAGCCAGCATGGTTTTCTTGTTTACTACAGCCTTTTAAGTGTTTATAATCTTTGTAAGACTATATAGATTCTCAAAACAGATGGTGATATTTTGGTAGCTTCTAAGAATTGTAGTTTGTGGCCTGTCACAGTTTAAGTCATGTTGAGATCCATTCCTCGTAATACCTTGCTTCCCTGAGTTTAGAGGAGCTGGGGGAAAAGATTCTACTTTATGATCACAGAAGGCCCAGATTTTGCTTCCATTAACCATTGTTTAAAAAAAAACAAAACAAAGAAACAAACAAAAACAAACAAAAAAGGAAGCAAAAAAACCTTCCAAAACTAGGACGTCATTCTTCCTGTTGTCTGTGATTTGGGTGCTAAAGATGAGCATTTCTAGTATTCCCTGTATGACTCCCTTGATTAATCATTTTTCCTCATTGTGTGTTAGCAGCCCAAACAAGATTGGTCTGTGTTTCAGACTACCATAGTAAACTGTCTAGAAAAAAATGTTGATTTTTTTTCACAAAGTTTGATCATATTTCATATGTAGCGGAAACTATGCTATGTGTTCTCTCTAAACAGTGTATGAGGGTATATGTAGAACTGTTAACTGGGTTTATGGCTGTATAGATCACTTGTCTTCTTATCTGGGGGAAATTATTATCAAAAGCATGATAAAGCTGCTGACTTTGGCCTGTGAAAACTGTAAAGAATATTGTAAGTGTTGTGTTAGCCTGCTGGTGGAGCTAAAATTCTGTATCCACTGAATTTTGTCCTCCTTTGGGTGGGATCATTGAATCTTGCCTTCATATTGCTGCGCATAATACCTGAACACTTCCAAACAGTTAACAGAATGAACATCTTCCTTGACTTTAGGCTGGAAACTTATTTTTGTTTCTTAAATACCTTGTAAATATTTAGAAAAATTAAGTAGCAGTTAAACGGGATATCTTCATTTATAGTCTGTTTAATCTTTTCTGATTGCTCTGAAAAGCCACTGTGGATGGTATTTTAGAGCTACTACATTGAACTAAAATTTTGATGCAAAAGAATGCATAGATATTAGTTAGAAAACAAAAGAATGTAAAGGATAGATCACAAATGTTGCTTGATGAGAAACCTGGCCATTTTTGAGACTGAAAAAAAATTTGTAGTCATTTGACTCAAATGTACTTAAATATTACCTACCTGCTAACTGCTCTGCAATCTTTACTTCCTATTTTCAAGAAGGCTTGTGCTCACTGAGTACCACATGAAAAAGAATTTAAGCTTTTTCTTACATGTACTCAGAAATTAAAAGAGCAAAACATATGGAAAACATGTTTTTGGATCTGCCCTTGTATACTTAAAAATGGATAAATACATTTGCTAAATTTTTTAAATTAAACTGCAATTATTATTTTGTACCTTTCCTCAGCATATGTTGCAACTGTTGTTTTACTGTAACTACATGATTTTCTTTCTATCTTTTATCCCACATTGTAAATTATTATGTAACAAAAAAGAAAAATAGAAGACACTAAAATAAAGCTTCTTGGTGGAAAAGATCTATTGTCCTAATAGACTGCTAATTTTTTATTTTGGAACTAAAAAGAATTTTTGGTGAAATTTTGACATCTTGATAAGTAGTAGTAACTAATAGTATAGTAAGTATTATTATTATAAATTTATATGAATTAATAATTATGAATATTGCTATACTTTGCTGGAGAAGAAAATAAGTTAGAAAATTTTGTAATTAAAGTTAGTTAAAAAGTTAACAAGTTGTAAGGTCTTTAAAGAGAGTTTTAACGCATGACTTCTTTTTACACAACAGGTGAAGTTTGGGATAAGGAGTTTGACCCTGTCATGGTAATACTTCGAACGGTTTACCGTAGAGACGTGCAGTCTGCAATGGACAGATATACAGCCTTGTAAGTTGGAGCATTTTTAGGAATGTAACGGGATATTGTTGCTCATTACGCAATGTCGGTGTTTGGTTTTTTTTGTTTGTTTAATTGTTTTTACTTTCTGGTAATGCTAGTCATTTTATCAATGTTTTCAGGCCCCAGATTTGTCCTTAAGTAAATAGTTCATAAATTTACAGACAGTATCAGGACGTTGGTTAGCTTAGTCTGTTATTCTTCCATGGATGTTTAAAAATACATGTCAAGTGCCACAGACAAAGTAGTGGATGTCATCACAGATAAAATACTTAACCAAAAGTTAATGTTTAAATTTGAGTTGATAATTAATTAAAGAAAGCAGTCTTACCTGGTTTTATTTCTTTTACATTTAGGTACATGGAGCACAGTATGACAATGCTCTGTGCTCTGAAATGAGATTCAAGACAATGTTTGGGCTTTTTTTCTGTGTATACACCCTTGACAGAAACCATGCATGAATTAAATTCTGATTTGAATATAGGGGAAAACGCTTGTGACATTCAAGTTCAAAGAAACAAGATGGTGTGATCTTAATTCCCTAACATTCCATCCCTTATAGATTTTTATATCAGTTAATTTCATTTGGTTGTCTTTTATTTCAAATCTTGGGAGTAAATAATCAAGTTTAAAAACCCTTTATTATAAACTTAGTGGAATAATCTTCTGCCATGGTGCTCACTTCATTCAGTCAAAGGGTTATCATAAATACATACTGTAAGTGATTTTGAGCAAAGTTGTATTCTATTAAATAATTGCGCTGTGTATTGCACTGGATTCCAGCCTGTTATTAGAAATGTGGGTCCATGTTCTGCTTAACAATTAAATTTGTAGATACAGCAGCATTGGTACTGTCAACTATAGCTCATTACATCTAGTGTTTCCTGGTGTTGCCTGTAATCCCTTCCTACAGATGAGAGATTTCTGTGTTGGATGTCTGAATAATGTACAGGTTTAGGCGAAGTGAAAAGTTTTACATCTCTCTTATGCGCTTCTTAGAATGAAAATGGAATTCTTAAGTTAATAGATTAAATTCATAGCAGAATTAACAATTCATTTAAGTTTATAAAATCATGTAAATCAGTGGTAATCCACAAAAAAGTAAGACTGGAGTCAGTTTGCATAGACATTCACATTTTGAGAATGCTGCTTTAATAAATTAAGTGGCTTAGAAATGCTTATCAGTTCTGAAGTCAATCTAAATAAAAAGAATGTGGGGTAGTTATCTATAACAGGGACAGATGTCTACATCTGTAATCAGTGTTTAACATAAGTCTCATTTGTTTCAACAGCTTAAAGCAAAGTGGTAAATTCTCTGGGAACCCGTGGCCTCCTTACAAGAAAAGAACGCCACTACATCCAAATTACAAAGGTCTTATAAAGCTTTTGCACTGTAAAACCCTGCACATCGTGCTCTTCACACTTCTTTACAAGGTATAGCCATAATTCTTTTTAAGTCAAATATATGCTTCCTTTTTTTTTTTTACAACAGAAGTTCTTAGAAGCATGATTTTTTTAAAATTTAGAGGAGTCAGGTTCAATTTATATAATGTTTTTATTTTTGTTTTGGTTTTCTAAGTCTAGGGTGATATTTTCTACCATTTTCATTATTTCATGAGCGATTATTTCATATTGCTTTTTCAGCTGGAATACTAAATACATTTCTACCAGATTTATGGATGGTAGAAATTACATAGTGATTGATTCCATGGGTTGACTTAAGTGGTGTTTTGGCTGTTTGTGAGATTTTGCCAGTTCATGGCAGACTTCGACTTTTGGGACTACCTACAAAGGAACAGTAAACTACATTTAGATGATTTGACTTTTGACTTTGACTTTTCAGAAGCATTAGTCAACATGGCGTTTGATTCTGACTGGTAGAACTGCACATGCTTTTCATATTAATTTAATACTGAGTGGCCTTCTTAATAAGAAAAATCTCTGTAATCACAGATTTGATTTAGTCTTATTAAATCAGCTGCTCAAACATAATTTAGAAAAGCTGTTGTAAGACTATTTGTTCTAAGAAATTTATCTCTGATGTTTCTGATGGGTGTATCTACTTAAGAAATTTGACCTATTCCAAACCAAGTTGTATTTAAAACTTTATTAGGCTACACTTTAAAAATACTAATTTCTGTGGTAACTTATCTACAATGAAAACTTGAAGATATTTTTCTCATCCACTTTTTTGGTAAGTTGGAGGTTCTTGCCATTTTCTGCTCTTTAAATCAGTATATTCTCAAGAGGAAAGTTGTCCTGCTTTTTCATTTCAGTAGCATTGGTTCTTCCTCTCAGCGCATGAAAGCTATGTTAGAAGAAAGATATGGGTGTTTGTTAGTTTAAAGATAAGATTATTTACTATCTCTAAATAAAAAAGACTGTGAAAATAGTTGTGAACTAAAATCAGGGTAAACCTTCTGGTGTCCCCAGTTATCCAGGCATTGCTGATAGGACTAGGACCTTGTGAAGCCTTATTGTTATGGATCATGTGAAGAATGAGAGAAAGCTAGGTGCAGCTTTTTGCTTGTAGCTGATAATAGTGGTATCTATACAGCTTTACCTGGAACTTTGGTATTAAAATAAATTGCAGCTTGAATTAGTAACAATTTTAAGGGACAAATTTGTTTGACTGGCAAGACATAAAATTAAATTTTACTTTTGTGGTGATGCTCAAAGGTTAGTTTTTTCTAAACCTCAAAATAATTCTTAAATCATCTTTGAAAAAATTAAATAAAACCAGAAGAATACAAAGTGTATTTATCCAGAACGCTCTTTTTTTTTTAAGTTTAGGCATATTGAAGTCTTAATTGGCTGAGTGAAATCATGATTTCCTGTCTTTCAAAAGCAATACTCCTGTTGATCCATCACATCCAAAATTGTCTTACTTTGTAGTAGTGTTGAATTACTGATCTCGGAGAGTTATATTGATGTTTTTGCTCTTACTATTCTTGACCTACTTGGAACTTTTTTTATCCTATAGCATAATCACTAATCAGATATTTTGTTGGAGCATTCAGTCATACAAGAAGTGAAGTTTAAAATATATTGCTGATGTTTCAGAGATGATTTTCCAGGAACTTAAGTAGGCAATTCACTGGTTTTGGAAATATTTTTTTTCTAGCTGTATTTCTATGCATATGATAGGGCTTTGAAAGTGTTACTGCGCAACAAAAAGAAAATCGTTATAAATGGTAAAATTGGCACTCAGTGTCTACCAAAAATATACTAGGGTAGCAAGAGTTACGGTGTTCTGACTGTCTAGTCTTTTTAACTGATACTTGTGTCTCATGATACAGCTCTTGTGAGCACAGTGATTAATTAGTGGAGACTGGAGGAGAGAGACAACAAAAGTCATACGTGGCTCAAGACTTTCTACCTCTCCTGTTGTGGCTTACCTGGAAGGTCTTGTTTGGAGCTTAAACTTATAGGTAGCAACTTGAACTTCTTCATATGAGACTCCTGCACCTTTACCTTGCAGTTTAGGTTAGAGATGTCCATCAGGTTTATGGCAGGTTTTTTTTTTTTGTAATAGGGATTGTGACCGTATCAAAAATAAAAGGTTCTAAGAAGTGAATGTCTGCTTGTCTGCCTAGATACTAATGGATCATCAGAATTTATCAGAACATGTGCTTTGCATGGTTTTGTATTTGATTGAGCTGGGGTTGGAAAATTCTCTAGAACAAGAGTCAGATGAAGAGGTAAGAATAAATACCATTGTTTGAAAAAAATAAAAAAAAAAGAAAATTACATCCTGTTGTGGCATATGGTATCTTGTTGTGTTTTTCAACAGTTTCTGTACATATGAGGTGACAACACACATGGTTAGATCTTTACTACTGTGTAAATTAGTACTTGAAATTAGCTGCAAAAACAATTTAAAATTATTCAATCTAAAACTTGCTTAAATTTCTAGTTTTTTCAACTGAAGCCTTTATCACTAAGCATTTTATTGCTAAAGTTCTGTATCTTCCAAAATATGTGAATTAGCCAAAATTTTAACTGTGTTTGATGAGAATTTGAATGTAAAGAGCTGTTATTTTCATGATTGTAGATGAAAGTATATGACATTTTTTCCCTACTGTTTGTTTTCCAACATATATTATTGTAACACATAAACAAAAAAGTGTGTCGTTTCTTAGTATACTTTCTCTTATTATTTTAGGAATCTACAGGTGGACAAGAGCGTTGCCACGATAGTTGGTTTCCAGGTAGTAACTTGGTTTCTAACATGCGTCATTTCATTAACTATGTCCGAGTAAGAGTACCAGAAACTGCACCAGAGGTGAAGAGGGAACCACCTGCAAGTACAAGTTCTGGCTTAGCTTCATCACAAGTAAGTATATATAAATACTGGTCCTCTTGCTAGATTAGTTTGTTATTGCCTGTTTTGGATTTTTTTTTTGGTTAGGGTTATTTTTTTTACCTTTTTATGAAATTGTTAGGATACCTTTTTTTCCCCAGTGATCTTTCCTAAGTGTACTGATAACAGAAATATCAAAAACAGAAATAGAAAGTTATTTAAAATTATACTCTCTTCCAAGTGATGTATTTAATGACTTTTTTTTGCCTTCAATCTACCAGAGTTCAAGGCGGAAGAGCCTCCAGAGAGAGGTAGATCTGTGTGCAGTTTGTTCTTCTAAGCAATTAACTAGCAACATGGCTTTAATTGTGCTCACCTTAACATTCAGTGAAATCTTCTAATTTTCCTGGATTTTCTTTTAATTCATATTGCCAGGGCTCATGCTTATTTTCATGTTCTTGGTTGTCATATTAGGCAGTGAAACGCCCTTAGCTTTTTAATATGTGTTTTGGAATAAAAACTTTTTATTGTATATAAAATGTTATTGATAGTTTACTGCTTGAGCTTTGTGTTTAGGCCTATTTTGTCTTGCCAAGATATTACTAACATTTAATAATATAGAATAGTCTTAGCTTACTTGAATCTGGGTAAGCTTAACCTCACATTGAAAGTGCATTTGAAATGATTAATGGGAAGTTTATTTGGATTTTTGTGAAAACAAAATGAAGATGTAAATGAAAGAATCATAGCCAGTACATATTATAATCTGTCAGGATTGTTTGTGTCTCCTGTATATAGCACTTCAGATAACTGTATGCCAGATGATGTAGTGAAATACAAGGGTATTTCTTTTGCATGTTAATATTAAAAAAAATAGATAAAACTTTGAAGTCGGTGATATGAAACGGGTTAAAACATAAAAAGGGTAGGTGAGGTGATTGTCAGAATCCCATTTTTATATTCTAAGTACTTGGTATATTGGCTGCCCAGCCTTCTGAGAAGGAAAGGGTAGCATGCTAAAGTGTTCTGAATTTCATGTTTGAAACATTCAGGGAACATCTTTCTGCTGTGGATTCATACATGCGAGTTGCTTCTGTGTATTCTTAATTTGGGACTGAATGTACGGGTAGCATAGAATAGAAATATCTGAATGAGCTCTGTCATTAATGTGACTGCACTCCTATACTCATGTGCCCTGAGCAGTGAGCTCTGCTTGCAAATATGGGCATGTGACTTCTGGCTCTCAGCTTATAAATCCATACAAAATGGACAATGCCCATGGGGACACATGGGCACGCCTGTGTTCACCTGTGTAGGATTATGAGTTACATTGTGCAACAGTACTCAGTAGGCATTAATAAAGACTAACAAATGACATAAAGATACTGAAATGATGAGTATTCTAGAGAAAGAAAGGAAATATTACTTAGAGAATTTGAAATTTGTCTAGAGGAAAGCCAGTTGTTAGTTGTTTCCATGTGGATGATACTTTCATTTTGTACTGGGCTTTTTAGGCAGCTGTTTATAATGGATCCATATAAAAATATTACATACAGGTATTTAGGATTTTGTAATACCAAATTTCAGTATGTTATTGAAAGGGAGAGGAAACTTACAATGTTCAGTGCTTTTCCTCCTAGCTTAAAATAGTTTCAGTAGTTTTATAAATGTATGTTGTGTATACTTGTATTTTTGAAAACTAAACATTATAATTTTTTTTTTCCAAGAACTCAGGGACAGCTCAAGTGTTCAGTTTGGTTGCAGAACGTAGAAAGAAATTTCAGGAGATCATCAATCGGAACACCAGTGAAGCAAATCAGGTTGTTCGTCCCAAAACATCAATGAAATGGTCAGCACCTGGTGCAACTCCACAGCTAACAACAGCCATTCTAGAAGTCAAGGAGAGCATACTGTCCTTGCTCATTAAATTGCATCACAAACTCTCAGGAAAACAAAACTCCTACTATCCTCCGTGGCTGGATGATGTGGATGTTTTAATCCACTCAGAAATTCCAAGATATTCTCATGGTGATGGAATGACGGCAGTAGAAAGAATTTTATTGAAAGCTGCTGTGCAGAGCAGATTGAATAAACGTATAATTGAAGAGATATGCAGGAAGGTGACGCCTCCTGTACCACCGAAAAAGATCAATTCTGCAGAGAAAAAAACTTTGGATAAAGAAGAAAGGTAACATTAATAACAAAGTAAAGGGACAAAAGGACAGTCTGTGTTATGAATCTATTGATTGATCTGGCTCTAGGTCTCTTATTCAAAGAATGTCTTAATTCTGCAATTTTTGTCTCCATCCATTTTGAATATGTGTGATTTACAAGGGTAGTGAGGAATAACCTGCATCTTGCTAATTTAGATCTTTAAATGAGAAAACTTCCATGATTTTATGTGATATATAAGCTCACCCTTCATGTTGCCATGTGTACCACTCATACATACAAAGGTGCAGAATTAAGATTGTGTTAACTTTTGGGGCTTAACCTCAAGATGGGTTAGAATTTTTTAAAATTTGTATTTTCACTCACGTATGCACATCACACAGTGATTATTTTTATTTACTGTATGTGGGTTTAGTGATTCTGCCTTTTTTGTTTCTCTGACACATTCAATTTTAAAATTATCTTTAACATTTTTATACTTTTTTTAAAAATATATTAATATTTTCTTATAATGTGTCTTGAAAACCTGCATGCTAGGTGTCTGTCTGGATTTGGAATTTTTCTGGGTGCAGTTTCGGGTCGAGGTTGGGGCATAATGAATCTTGAATACTAGCACTATTGAAACTGAATGCAAAGAGGCTGCTTCTTTTCAGCTTTCAACAAACGTTGCGTCGGTGTGTGAGAGCTATAGAGGAGGAATCATCCAGTTCAAATGCCTAGAGGGATAGCAGCAAGAACTGAGAAGCAGAGGTGAAAACTGGGACTGGCAGGGGCAGGGTTCAAGGCTGGGACTGGAAGGAGAAACCTTGTGGTCAATGCGATAGTGAGCAAAGGGAAGATGGCAGGTCAAGTGAATGGTTGTTATGGGAAGAGTCCAGCTGGCAAGCTGGGGAAGTTAGGGAAGAACATGGTTGTCAGGATTGAAATACTTAGAGAAGAACAGCTAATGAAAGAACCCATTTTTGGTGAAGTTCTCAATGGGGAGGATGGGGTCTTGAGGGTTGATAGGAAGAGAACATGGAACAGGAATGCAGATCTCTGGAGGGCATGAGTAAGACAGAGATTGGCATTTGTGGGATGTAATAGAGCCAGCCAGTTAATGGTTTAATTTGCAGCATCTCTTGTAATAGTTGAGCAAATGAGAGAAATAGTCAAGGTTTAGCATGTAAAATTGCCTTTCAGAAAAAGCCAGACTGAATGGCTGCTTTAGATAAAACATAGCCACATCCTGGTCACCTACTCTTTACTATGGTGCTCAGTAGCACTAGGTTTATATACTGGAGAAGCACAGCAACCAATGAATCAAGTAAGTTTTCATGTAGGAAAGGGAAAGGTAAATCCTTTCCCCCTGTGAAGGATGTGATATTTTCAAGGATCTGCTGTGAGTACTTCTAAGTTTTCAGTGAAGTTCTGAAACTAACATAACGATGAAAATAAGTGTTTCCAGTTCGTTGGTTTTTTTCTGAGTGACTGCTTCTCCCCTAATCCATAATGGTATTGGGGACCAATGAACTGTATTAATAGACGGTGTGAAAACTGAAATAACTAATCCCATAGACTGACCATGCTTATATAGTAAGGCTGCAATATTTACTTTTTAAAATTTTTTTTTTTCATTTTTCCCTTAAGTCCAGTTTTGTGTTGGTGAAGACCAAGCAGACTGGGAGCATTCAGCGAACACCATTTTTGAGTTTCTTCAAACTGACAAATTTGGCACCAATCAGGCAATGAGGTGTTTGCCATAGAACCCAAAATACAAAACTAGAGGAGAGCTTGAGTTGCGAGCAGTATTTTTTCAGTTGCAGTGTCGTACTCCATGGGCCATCACAGAAAATTACGGAGCTGTACTGAATCTGTCAGAGTTTGTTTCCGTTTTCTTATTAAAGGCCTCTATTTACAGTCACTCTGCTTTTAGTCAAGGCATATATTGAGTATTCCCAAGGAGAAGTAAGTAAAACTAGATTTAATGAATGCCCTGGTGTGATCCTCAGAATAATGAATCTTAGGATTGTTGTAAATAGAAGCTATTTCGAGAAGTTGTGGCTGGATAATATGACAGATGAATGGGCAGAGATATTTGGGATGTTAAGGTTCCTTTAAGAAAATAAGTTAGAAGCTTTGACTGCTAAGTAGGCCACCTCAGGATAACAAGTTATAGTCTATTAGCTGTTTTGGGCCTGTGCATGCCAGTTCTTGTGCCAGAACAGTTATAATCAGCATTGGAAACTGAAGAGGACTCACCCATCAGCATGTCAGATGCCAAGTGATGTTTTTAAATCCCTTGTTAGCTATCTGAATCACCTCTGAGCAGGAGAAGAAAATTCCTTGTAAGTGCTGATGCAGTTTGTAGCTATGGTAGGGCTTCTGTAGCTATGCTGTGGAGGTGCTGTGTGAAACCCCCAGCCATGGGCCACATAGGTCTTTGCATACACCATATGGTGAGCAGCTGTGGTGTGAGTTCTGTGTGGTTTTTCCACTTGCACTATCACATTTTTTCTGTGTGTAAACTCTTGTGAAAATAAAAAATCCTTTCTTGGTACCATAGGAAGAGGAAAATCAGTGTCTTATTTTCTTATATGTTTTTACATCCATCAACATTCCTTTACTCACTGCATATACTGGCCATATTGTATATATGGAAAATTGTAGAATAGCTGGTCATACAGCCTTGTACAGGTCACTAATACAGTTTAAACAGCAGGACAGAGAAGAATGAGTCTCTAAGGTCTTCCATTCATGAATCCAGAGCTGTTAAACAGTGAGGAAAAGTCAGTGAAGTCAGTTTGGCTTCAGGGAGGTAAGGGCCTTCAGTCTGGAAGCAGTCTTGAAGATTGCTTCTTAAAGAAGCAAACTTCTTTAAGTCCAGATAAAACAGCTGTTGATGACTGGTATCTTGGGTGGAGATGGGGCAGAAGGAACCAGTGTGAGGAGCTTTAGCTAGAAAATAAATTATTCATAATTGTTTGCCTTGGCATCAAGCTTGATATCAAAAGTAACTGAAGTGATCAGCTGCTGCTCCTTTTTATTATTGTTATTGTTAACTTGTAAACATTGGTTGCTCATAAGAACACTTTTTTTTATACAACAGTTGACATTTCAGTCTTTCTTCCCTGTGTAACAGAAAAATAACTTTAAAGAATAACATCTTGGATTCTTACACTATGCCCTAATATGTTAAAGATCCTTTGGGTTTTTGAAGGGTATTTTAGGACAGGGTTGTTTTTTTTTTCCTGTCTTTTAGACTCAAAAGACAATAATCCCTTGTTATTAAAAAACTCAGCTTTCAAAGCAAGAGATTCTTTTCTTTAGGCTTGAAAAATAATCTTGTATTTAGAGAACTTAAATTTTGAATTATATTGTTGAAGGTGGTGACAGTAACCAGCCTGAAAAAATAAAGTAATTTTTTTTTAATCCATTAAATATACTAATTTTGTTTGTTTTTGTATTTCCCCCTTTCTTGTTTCACTCAGACGGCAGAAGGCTAGAGAAAGGCAACAGAAATTGTTGGCTGAATTTGCCTCAAGGCAGAAAAGCTTCATGGAAACTGCCATGGATGTTGGTAAGTTTTTGTGTGGTTGATGGATTGCCTTTTTTTTTTTTTAATTGATTTTATTTTTTGTTTCCATGTTAGTATTAGGGTTCTTACTCAGTTTAAAAATAAAACAACAAAAAAACCCAAACAGAAACCAACCCAAAAAAACCCACAAACCCCAAACAAAACCCTCCCCTCAGATCCCACTGCTATATCCACTTGTTCATTAAATACTTAAGATGCTTACAGTTGTATTTTCTAGGACAGATAATAAAGAACAGGATTGCTAAGGAATAGATTAAATGAGCCTGAAAATAGTTAAAAGAGAACACATTATTTGTAGGGCATGATTTTATTCCTATTTTTAATTTATACATAGTGGATGAAGTAATTAAATGTTTGTGACATGTTTTAAAGTATTTACCTTTTAATATAAAACATCCTAAAGTTAGTTTTTCTTGTGAAGATTTCATTTCCTTTAATCTTTTAATATTTATTTCTTCATAAGGCCTCAAATGTTAATAATATAAAAGTTTTGCATTTGAAATTTATTCCATAGTTCTACGAAAGCATGATTTTTAGATTCATCTCAGTTGCTACAAGTTGGTACCATTGTGTGGTATCTCAAGTACAGGCTTTACAACAGAATTGTCTCTTGCTTTTCTTGAGGATAAGTTCTTTAAGGTTCTACTGCTTAGAAGCACATGATCTTGATTAGTTTGCTTGTGTTTGAGGAATGGAAAATATTTTCATCATCTGGATTACCTCATTAAAAATAGCACTCCTGAAAAAGCAGAATTCCCCCGCCCCCCTTTCAATCAAATATTTGCTGTGTAGTTTTCAGGTTAAGCATTGGCTAGACGTATTTCGACTACTGAAAAAGTCTTTCTTGCTATTGTTAAATTCCCTTCAGTTCACAGATTACTGAGAATATTTATTTATTCCTTTCAATTTATGAAGGTCTTGGATACAACAATCACTGAAATTTCTGTAGCAAATTAATGACTATATTTATGGTGTTATGTCTGGGGGATATGCAGTACAACACTGTTCACAGATAAAAATGAGTTTCAGTCATGCTTACTAAAGGAGTAGCTGTTTTTAAAATTTGATGAAGTAAGGAAGAGAAGAAGCATGTAGTTCTACTTATTAAAAAATAAGTCATTTTATAGTCAAGGCTAATTGAAAGCAAATGAGAAACTGATTATGCAGTCACCTATGCTTTGAATTCTTGATACTACAACTTCAAAGTTGATGTTTTTATATATGAAATCACATGTATCTATCTATGTATTTACCTGTCATAGCTGTATTTGCATTTATACATATGTACGCATAAATACTCCCATGCTTCAGTTTTATAAGCTGTCTTTAAGGTAACTGCTTTGGTTTGTGGATGAAGCGTAATGCTAGTTACATCAGTAAATTATACAGCATTTGTTTGTGTCAAGGACTGGGAATATTAAAAAGAACTCTTAATTTCTGTAACAGTCAGACCTCAGTCTTTGTTTGTGACTGGGCATTAAAAAGTTCTTGGGCATGCGACACTTAAATTGTTGGTTTCTTAGTATGTAAACAATTAATAACTTCAGATATCTCAACATAAAATGTAACATTTGTTATACCAGGCTTTGCATAGCAGTAGATAGAATCAATTTAATAGGCTACATTTTCATAAATTTGTTCTGCATTAAGACATTTTTTGGCAATAATATAATAAAATTCTATTGTGTTAGCTGAATAATTGCTTTGCTTTTTCACTAACTTTTTTCAGTATCTTCTAGGTTGTCATACTGTTTCCTGAGTCTGTGACAGAAATTCACTGAATTTGTACTATAGTCCAGTATTAACTAGCATTTTTGTTCTGACTGGCATTAAAATAGCTTGCAGAGAGGAAGTACATATTCCATTATAGTGTTTAGGATTTATTTTAAAACTTAGATTGTTTGCCAGGAATGTTTTCTTCTGTTTGTTTGTTTTGTTTTTGTGGAAGTAATTTGTTCAGCTGCTAATTCAATCTCTGTATGTCAGAAATTTACTGAAAAAGTTGCAGAAACTTGTTACTGTCATTTTAAAATACAAGGTACGGTAAGAATTCTGAAAGTAGTTTCTGGAATTATTAAATTCAAATCTACTCTAAGTATTTTAATAGTCTTACCCTGAATTGTGTAATAGCTGTGCTGAAATAGTGTATCTGAAAAGAAGAAAAATCCTTTCATACTGAAATCAGTAAGTTAAAAATATTCCCCTCTCACACCTTCAGACTCTGTTACCTGTTACTTTTAATATAGGTAGAAATTTGGCAGTAAGTTTGTTTCTTAATTCGGATTGTTGGTTGTAACGGTAATAATCTTGTCAGCGGGTAGGAGTGCTGAGGCCTCAGCTCCCTGGCTTTGTACTGATTCAATTGGTGTCATTTGAGCAAATTTTTAATATTATTATTGTCATCATCACCTTTTAAAAATTTGCTCCCTGTGAAACATGAATGTGATTCAGTAGTAAAATGTGAGAAATGGTGTAATTGTTTTTGAGTACAGCACTGAAAAAATTACATAATCTTTTTCTCTTGACAGTGCATAAGACTGAAAATACTCGGAAAAGAAATGTCTAGAAGATATTAGGAATAACAGAGAATAGTCGAAGCTTAAAGATTGTTAAACCCCCATAAACTTAATAGTTTCAAAAGTGTTTATTAAGGTGCAAAGAGCCACTCTTAATCCCTTGAGGCATTCCTCTTTGATTGTTGGGATTGTTGGCATATAATCACTATAGAAAAAATTCTGATTAGGTAGTCCTTTTCATTTGTGCCCCCTGTTACTTTCTATTCATATTCAGTGACATCTGCTGAATTACATTGCCATTCAAGCTTGCCTGGAAGTAATTAAGTGAAATTTAGAAACAGTTATGTTAATGAACTAGGATAGACCAGAATCCACTGTGCTGTCTTTAGCTGTTTGACTTCAAGACAAATGTAAAAAATAGAAAAGCCAAGAAGTGTATTTCAACAGCACTCATCTGCTACTTTTAGAACAACCTGAGGAGAATGTCTCATGAGTCAAAAATGTTTTGTCATGTAGTCAGACAGTGTCAACTCCATAGGCCTTCTAGTCTTCCAGTAATACCTACTTTTATGTATTTGTTTTGAGGGCACTTATTTCTGTGTAACGCTGTGGTCTGTTGTGATGTGGAACGCCATGCAAGAGATTTTTGAAACTTCACCGCCTTTCAGGGTGTGAATTCATAAGAACAAAAATAATCCCTATGCTCCAGGTTAATAGTTGTTAATAGCTTTCAACAAATTACAGTGATATTTGTAAATATCTAAGTTTTATAAGCAGAAATTTTAATGATCCATTCCAGGTAAGCTGCTGAACTACTTAATGAAATATATCTTACTGAAAATTTGTGAATTATAAATATTAAGATATCCTGCAATCCTTCAGTACTTTTGCTGTCTCTTAAATACTCAATGTGATAACTTTTTTTTTTTTTTTTTTACTGTCTTGTTATAAGTATGAGATACAACCTTTGTGATTCCCTCCTTTGATGTTGAATGTTGGCAGGACATAATTTTGTCGTTCAAGTGAATGTAGCTAGAGTTAAAAAGAAGTGCAGAGTTTTAAGACAAGGTGACATACATTTCCTAATGCTCATTGTTCTGAACCCAGCTAGAAAAATAAATTAGGTACTGATCTCACGAGAATATACATGCTAGGTCAGGGCAAGGAATGTTGGCATACTAATGGTTGCTTTGATGCCGAGGGGTCACCTTGACACAGTGTATACAACACGAAAAATGTTGACTACAGTCAACAGAGATTGTAAACTATATTTATGGTGTTTACAAAACCCTTTTGGTTCTGGGGTTTTGCTAGATAGGGGAAAGAATGAGAGTGAATCTTTAACTCTGGAGAGCAGAAATGAAATAGAATTCAGGCAGCAGTGCATTTTGGGATAAAACAGATAAAAGTTTTGTCGGACTGATATGTATTTCCTATGAGGTAGGAAATGCTAGGATGTTGTAACTTCAGGTTTCTCATTCTTATGGATACAAAACTAAACAAAGAGCTAAATTAACTTTTTTAAAACCCACAGGAATGATACTGCTATGTATTTCTGTCGCAGATTAAATTGGTTTTACCTTTGTTTTTAACACTGTTCATATTTATCCTGATTTCTGAAATAATCCCTTTGTCCTTGTGGACAAAAGAAGTCTTAGAAGCCACTGTAAGGGGGTGGGGTGTGTTAAAACATTAAGTAGAACTCATGAGAGAAACTTGGTCAATTAATACCAACACTACATGTCTTATCTTGTATTTCCCATTTGCGCCATCTTTAGACAAATTGACATCACCAGGACAAGTCTCTATGAAATCTATGAGGTTAAATCTTTGGAGAGTCAGAGTTTCAAACTGTAAGCATCCTTGGTTTTATTCCAAAGAGTGCTTGACATAAAATATACTTGCTGGCTTGTATGACTGCTGCCTGGCTAGTAAAGCCATCCTTCAGCTTACCAACTAAATTCACCTTGATGGTCTTTGCTCTCCTGTTGCCACTACCTACTTTCTGAATCTTGAGTGGAGTGACTGAGATACCTTGTTTTGGGGGCCAGTGGTTTTCACACAAAATAAAACTACAGGCTCATACAAAACCTCTTTGAAAGGTTGAGGAGCAATAAACTTCAAGATCAGTATTTTAGGAAATAGCTGGCAAAGGATTCCTTTGGCACTCAGTAAGGCAACATTGTTCTGGGATGTAACACAAAAGTGCTGTTTTTCATGAAAATACCCTGCTAGTGTCAGCAAAAATGTTGGAGATACGTGCACCATTGGAAGCAAAATAAGGAGATTTAGATTATTCTCCACCTTTTAGTTGACACTGATGTGACTTCATTCATGTGAGGGCTCTTGGTGGTGATTTGGTTTTTAGCCAGAATAGAAGGAATCTTAATGTTAACATGTACATGTTACAAAATGTAACATATGTACATGAATATATACATTAAATATATGTATGTACAACATTAT